AGAGGAGACCCAATTACCAAGCTGATTTCTGAAGACATCCTGGCAAGTTGCTAATCTTTGAAATTCATGAAGCCAGAATTCGGCAGTACAGCTTGCCTTAAGCATCACACCAGCACATTTGACTGATGGCCGTTTCTGAAGCATCACAGACTTCAGCAACATGGCTTATTGCTGAGAGAGAAAGTCGGGAGGACAGAGACATATTTTGATTTTTTGTTTGTTTGTTTCTTGCCTTAAATATATTTAGATGTACTGTATGGACCCCCAATTCTGTGACAGGTCAAATGGCCATCAGAGCCAGAACCATCACAGACAAAAGAGAACAGAAAAATAAAGATGCTACTTTCCTAAAGCCAGAAAATATTTCCTTTCAGTTTGCTCCTTAGAAAGTGGAATTCATTCCATTCCAAAATTCCATTCTAATTCAGGAAATATAATAAATTGCTTAAGAAAATAAACCTTGAGCTACGTCGTGCTTTGCTTAAATCCCAGTTCCTTTTTTGTCTCAATTATTGCCATCTTGTAGACATCTATATGGTATAGTCTATTCTGTTTATAAAATGTATGTGCATCACCTAGCATTTTAACTCTGATGATGTCAGTAGTTTGGCTGATGAAAGCTCAGTAAGTAACCTTTTTTACTCACAGGCTTGTTTATATTAAACAGTCCTGTTTATTTTATCCTGGTGTTCGTTTTTCTTATATATATATATATATATTCCATCCAAAAAAGGTGCCGGAACTCCATTCTGGGCGTTCTATGAGAAAAAAAGCCCTGTATATACATTCACACACACACGCACACACACACACACACACACACACACACACACATATACATATATATATCTTGCCTTTATTATTTTTATAAACCACCCAAAGCAGCAAACATGTCTAATACTCCTTCCTCCTCCTACAGTCCCCACAACAACAATCCTGTAAAGTGAGTTGGGCTGTGAGAGAGTGACTAGCCCAAAGTCATCCAGCCAGCTTTCATGCTTAAGGCTGAACTAGAAATCACAGTCTCCTGGTTTCTGGCCTGCAGCCTTAACTACTAGACCAAACTATTCCTCTTCTTGGAGTACAATGTTCTGCAGAAAACTAGAATGTCCCATTTAGCCTGAACCATATATATGCAATAGTTCTTTTTTTCATTTTTTTCATTTTATTTGATTTATATCCCGCCCTTCTCCTGAGGGGACTCAGGGCGGCTCACAACATATTTAAAACAAAGACATACCCACAATCCCCGCCGAATAAAACCAAATTAGAACCAAATATTTTAGAGTTGTGGTATTAAAATTTTCTAAAAAACCCAATTTAAAATCCTCCCTAGGCCAGGCCCGCTTGTTGGAAAAGCCATGTCTTGAGGGCGCGGCGGAAAGTAAGGAGATCCGGAATCGTCCGGATCTCGGGGGGTAGTTCGTTCCAGAGGGCAGGGGCACCCACAGAGAAGGCCCTCCCCCTGGG